AACAGCAACAGCAACAGCAACAGCAACAGCAACAGCAACAGCAACAGCAACAGCAACAGCAACAGCAACAGCAACAGCAACAGCAACAGCAACAGCAACAGCAACAGCAACAGCAACAGCAACAGCAACAGCAACAGCAACAGCAACAGCAACAGACAGCAACAGACAACAACAGACAAACAGCAAACAACAGCAAACAGCAACCAACAACAACGAACAACAACGAACAACAACAAACAACAACAAACAACAACAAACAACAACAAGCAACAACAAGCAACAACAAACAACAACAAACAACAACAAACTGCAACAAGCTGCAACAAGCTGCAACAAACAACAGCAACAGCAACAGCAACAGCAACAGCAACAGCAACAGCAACAGCAACAGCAACAACAACAACAACAACAACAACAACAACAACAACAAGGGAACTATGATGTTGTTGTTGCTGTTGTTGCTGTTGTTGTTTGTTGTTGTTGTTGTTGCTGCTGCTGCTGCTGTTGCTGCTGCTGCTGCTGCTGCTGCTGCTGCTGCTGCTGCTGCTGCTGCTGTTGCTGTTGCTGTTGCTGTTGTTTGTTGCTGTTTGTTGCTGTTTGTTGCTGTTGCGGTTGCAACCTGTCAGTTGTTTTCTTGCCAAAGGAGAGACCGAAGGCAAAGCCTCGCGTATGGACCTCCTTTCGGTGTCGCCGTACCAGGAGGCATCCACAGTGGCACATGCGACAACAAAAGCGTCGCGCTTAAGGCACGTAAGATTGTTTCTTTCGTTTCCAGGTCTTCAGCCGGAAACGACAGCAAAAGCGAGCGAAAATCGGGGCCATGGACCTGGAAGGGCTCATGGAGGCAAGGACATGTGAGCTCAAGTGAGGCTTCAATGTTCAACGATGTTCAACAACATTCAACATTCGAAGCACGGCATGCGTGAATTATCTTAAGGCTGCCGAGAAGAGGGCCGAAGGCTACAGCAGCAGCAACGATCGCCAGGCTTTGCTGGATGCCTCTGGGCAGGCCTGAGACTTCAAGCTTTGGAGTTCGGCGTCTTAGCAGCGAACTGAAAATTTTGGCCAGTTTTGTAGGAGCACAGGGAGCAACGGGAGAAAGAAGAGCAGCAGTGGGAGAGAGAGAAGTTCGGACAAAAACTAGAAGTTTTGAGCTGTGAATTTCTGCAAGCGAGTGAGTTTGATGTGTTTGATGTGAAGAGGAGGCGAAGGAAGAGGCGACGCCTGGCCGCCACTTCGGCGAGGAGATCTTCAATAAGGGTACCTCTAGGAGAATCTGGGCCGAGCTCTACAAGGCCCTGTACCAGGATCTAGTCGTTGGATCCGCAAGATCTCTCTCCTCCCCCGCTCACTTTCTTTCACATACACAGTCGAGAGAGACAGGTCGTGGACGCCGCAGATGTGCTGGTCTTTGTGTTGGATGCACGGGATCCCATGGGAACCCGCTGCCAGCAGCTCGAAAGACGCCCATTTGCACGTCGCTGTCGCGAACGCAAGCGTGTGTAGAGCTCTCCCAAAAGCCACTCGAACAATGTGGGAATGAGGAGCAATCTTTTTTTTTTTGAGGGGGGGGGGGGGTTTTTTGGTTCTCAGACTGAGGAGAGCTGCGGAAGAGTCGGCGGCACAAGCACGTTGTCTTGCTCGTGAACAAGGTGGACCTGGTCCCCACCTGGGTCACGCGCCGCTGGGTCCAAGAGCTCACGCGGGACTTCCCTACGTTGGCCTTCCACGCGTCGATCACGAACCCCTTCGGGAAGAACGCCCTTTTGAACCTCCTGCGCCAGTTCGGGAACCTCCTGAAGGAGAGCACAAGAAACAAAATAGTAACAAGCGTTCGGAAACGTTAATGTGAGAAAGAGAAGTTTTTGGAACGTAGGAGAGAAACTCTGGGTGAACCTGCATGTGGCAGGAGAAGAAGCATGTGACCGTCGGGATGATTGGTTATCCGAATGTAGGCCTGCAGTGCGGCATAGTGCAGCTGTAGCGCTGCAGAGATGGCAAAAAGCTGTAAAGAATAGTATCAAGCGGTAAAAAGCTGTAAAACGCTTTAAGAGCTGGAAGAGCTGCAAGAGGGAGAGTTCGCCATTGGCCATTGCTGAGACCCGAGGGAAGTCCTCAGTCATCAACACCCTCAAGCGGAAGAAGGTGTGCAAGGCTGCACCAGTGCCCGGCGAGACGCGGGTATGGCAGTACATCGCCCTCACCAAGCATCCCGGCTCAGCCTTTGAAGACTCGAAGAGCGTTTTTTGGTTGAGTGTGCCACAATACCCCCCAAACTGAGCGCACCTGAGGAGGATCTACCTGCTGGACTGCCCAGGGATTGTCCCGCCCTCGCAAAGCGACTTCGCGGCCGACTGCGCCAAGGCGCCGAAGCGGAAGACGGGTGACCCGTCACGACCCGTCACCCGGTGTGTGTGTGTGTGTGTGTGTGTGTGTTTTTTTTCGGGGGGTGTGGACCGGTGTGGAGGCGGCTTGCTGTGGTGTTCTTTGGTGGCGTGTGACGTGGCATACGGGCATACGGGCATACGGATGTGCAGAAACTCTGGAAATTTCACCGAAGGGGACCTGAAAACGGAACAAAAAATGCCCGTCAAATTGCAACGGAGATCAAGAACTGAACTTCAGCATGGCAGTTTTGAATGTGGCTGCAGATTGCCACTTATGGGGCCTGGTGTTCTTAGGTAGCCTTCTTAGCCGTGCAGGTGCTGAAGGGTGTCGTGCGAGCAGAACGACTCAAAACGCCTTCCGACTACATTCACGAGGCAAGCAGGGGCGGGGCCCTCTACGAGGCTGCAGGGTCTGAAGTCACTACCGTCACGACCGTCACGACCGTCACGACCGTCACGACCGTCACTACCGTCACTACCGTCACTACCTCTTGGGTTGTTGAGTTTGAGAAGTGTTGAAGTGTTTCTGAATGTTGAAAAAAGAAGGTGTTGGAGCGTGTGAAGAAGCCTTACCTGCTTCAGCGGTACCGCCTGCCGGCGGACACGGCGTGGAACGCCACGCGGCATCTCATTCTTCATCATTCTTCAGAGATTTTAACAGCCAGGCATAGCGGAATAGCGGCACAGAGAAGCGACAAAAAGTGACGCAGCGAAGTGACACTGCGAAGTGACACAGCGAAGTGACGCAGCGGTCTGCAATGGGGTCAGACTTCTCAGGACAGTGAAGAGTTCCTGACGATTTTGGGAAAGAAGATGGGGAAACTCGTCAAGGGCGGTGAAGCCGCCGCGCTCTCAGAGGTGCTTTGCTCCAGTTTGGAATCGTGGCTCTCTCTTTCTCGTGAGGACCTGGACACCGCGGCCCGCATCGTGCTCTACGATTGGCAGCGCGGCCGGATCCCCTACTTCACGCCCCCGCCGCAAAGAGAGGGAGAAGAGGAGGTACGGAGCTCTCCCGGCTCTCCCTCTTCCTTGTAGTGTTCGCTCTCTTTTTCTCTGGGACCTTAGGACCTCCTTCTCCTCGCCCAGTGTAAAGTTGCAGGCCCAGGAGGGCGCCGCCAAAGGAGGCCCTCTCGGGGTCAGAAGCTTGACACAGGAGCATGCATAGGAGCATGCATAGGAGCATGCATACCGCACATGCTGCATATGCTGTGTGCGTGTGCCTTTCAGTGCACTCGTCTCCAAAGCCCGAAGGTGAAGCAGAGGCAGAGGGTTCCGGTGAGGAAGCAGTGCCTTTCTCGCAGTCGCTGACGAAATTGGCTGAGATCCCCTGTGCACACGCCTTCGACGAGGAGGAGACAGGGAACTTGAGGGAACTTGAGGGAACTTGAGGGAACTTGAGGGAACTTCCCGACCCGAAACACTTTGCGAGCGCTTCCCACGTTTCCCCGACGCTGTGCTCTCCTCGTGTGTGCCTCTTCCCCATGCGTCCCCATGCTTCCGTCTTCCCTTCCGCCTTCTCCAAGAGCTCCCACAACTCTTTCAACCCAACTATGTTTACTTTTCTGACAAGAGTTGCCAGTCTATAAGAACATCCGCCATAGCAGCCGCAGAATGGCATTCTCGACCCATTGCCATGCCTGCTCATTAGATCTCTCACCTCCCAATCCCCGAGGCACCATGGTTCAGGCAACTTTGAGGCAACTCGAACCCTTGAGCCCCTTGAGCCCCTTGAGCCCCTTGAGGACCGCGGAGTCCCTTGAGTCCATTGAGTCCATTGAGTCCCTTTGAGTCCCTTTGAGTCCCTTTGAGTCCCTTGAGAGCACTGCCCAGAGCAGCTAAGTCCGCGAGTTTGCAACTGCACAAGCAAGATCGGCACAATGCGGCGCTGGGGGCAAAAATGAGAGGATTCTGGCAATTGTCATCCGCTTGCTTTTGCATTGTGATCGTTACACACCAAGAAAGCAAGCATAAGTTCAGCTAGGTAGCATGTCGCAATCAGCTAGACGGCCGCCGAAACCTCTTTAGAAGCCTCCGTGCGCTGACATGCTGAGCCTGTACGGGAAAGGCCTTTTTCGGGATGTCTGATTCTATGTGCAAACCCGTGCAAATGGTACAGAACATGTGTGTTTTGCACTATTTGCACGCCATCACTTAAAAAAACCGACAAAACGAACGAACATGACATTCGTGAACACTGGGTGATTAATTTGCATGGGAAAAGCTTATGAACGCATATTTTCTATCCAATAAGACACTTTTTGCACCATTAACAAAAGTCCCAAAATCCGACAAACCAAAAACACAAAACCATGAACCCGGGATCCCACTTGTCTTTGAAATTTTTGTTTTCCCAAGGTGTTTCTGGTTGTTTTGGGAAATCCAAACAAAATCTTGGGAATCCAAAATTTTCAAAAACGTGGGATCCCGTCTTCATGTTGTGGATTCTTGCAAAGTGCTTTTTTGCTGAAAAAGTATTCGTGTCTTTTCGTACAAGAGTTCTCTGAACATGTTTTCATAGCCTCGGCACGTGCACAGGGCCGACACTTGCGCGTCCGTAACATTTCAAGATCAAAGGGGCAGGAGCACAGCATGGACGCCTATCACTTTGCGGGCGCCGCTGGGGGACTGCAGCTTGGAATCTGGCTTAAGACTGGGAGCCGTGAGCTCGACGTGCGGCCTTGCATCTGTCATTGTGCTGTGAGCTCACCTGAACGATCGACTGGGGAGGGGGCCTGGCTTTGGCTAGTCTGCTTTGGGCTGGTCGGGCTTTTTGTCACCAACTTGGCCTTGGCATTCAGGGTTTCATTCCTTGAGTGCAATCTGGGGTCCAGATCCCACGGGTTTAGATCCTCATCTTCGTTTGTCTGTTTTGGGCTCTAAACAAAAAGTCTTCGTTTGTCTTGGTGTTTTTTTTGTGGTTTTCTCTTCTTTTTTTTGGGGAGGAGGGGGGTTTTGTCTTTATATGTCTTTATTTGTTCTTGTACTTGGATGCAGCCAGATACAATATACAAAATATGAATGAATGTCTATAAATTGCGGTGTGTGTGGTCCCTCTTGAAAGGTCATTCCATTAGCTTTTTTTGGCCCAACAACTGGGAAGCAGTTAGTTCCACCAGCTTTGTCCTTGTTACTGTTAACTGTGCCCTGTCCAGTGCCGCCAGTAACTCAGCGCCTGTGACAGTGGCGCCCCGGGATTAGCGAATGTGCTCCGCTGCGGACTGTGTCGTCGAATCTCGACGCATGCCTGACGTGGAGTTATTGCTTCTGTCTCAAAGCAGGTCTCGGGCGGAGATATCCCCCCTGCGTCATGAATGAGTTCTTCGAGTGTGTTTCTTTGTTTTGCAACCCATGCTGGCCTTTCATTTTCCGCCTTCACAATCAGGCAAATCACGTTTCTTTGCCTTTGCGGCATCCGGGCTGACACGTGTGGCGTGTGCGTCTGTAGCCTGTCGAGAATCGTTGCTCTCCAGTGATTGTGGAAGCTGGGCAGGATTGATGAGAAGGCCAGCGGATTGCGTGGGAAGTGACCAGACAGGGCAGTGTGCCAGGGGCAGTGTGCCAGGGACAGTGTGCCAGGGGCAGAGGAAAGGAAAGGGATGGATCTTTGCCATTTGTCCAAAAAACTCGCTGGTTCTGACATGTTTGAAAGCACAATACATCCAGTCGACTTGACTGCCCAATGATGTGTTGGGGCAACTCGACATACATGTCACCGTGTGCTCGCACGCGTGTGTGGTTGGCGACCGTGGCTTCGACGGATGGAGACATGGCGCTGGTTCGAGCTGGAGTATTTCGTGGAGAAAGTTTTTCACTGCATCCCATGGACATGTTCTCACGGGGAAGTCGAGAGCCGCGCTGATGCACTTCGAACGTTAGTGAGCATCATGAAAAGTGAGAGTAACATGCGACTCATCTTCTGTGCATAATAGGACGCCGCCACGCTTGACCACCAGGACGAGTGCTGTGGCTGTAAGATCGGAGCCGCTAGCCAGGAGACGGACAGATTCTGGCGTAGTATGACAGACGCATACCTTGCTGTGAGAAGCAAAACAAGTTTGGGATTTAGGCAGAGTCTCTGACAAAAAACCTTGACAACAAGGCCCTTCGGTACACGTAAGATGTCTTTTAGTGACAAAAAAGAATGAAAACAAGTAACCAGTCCGTAAGAGCTGTGAGCCTACTCAGGCATGCATTGAACGAAGTCACAGAACCTTGTAATTGCACACCGTACGGGACCCGTACGAACCCGGTACGGGCCCCGTACGGGGCCCGTACGGGGCGCGCACAGGGCCCAGTTAATAGGCTCTTTACTAGGCCCCAAAACAGGCGCCGTACAAGGACTGTGCAATTACAAGGTTTTGTGACTTCGTTCATTCATGCCTGAGTAGTCTCACAGCTGTTAATTACGGATATTACAAAAGCATCTTGTCTGCACAGCCCATACGAGCCGGCACAGTTCCTGTATAGGGGTTTAAGTGCCTTTGACTGTAGCAAGTGCCCTGGCTCTCAGGCTGCACAAGCCTTTCTTTCCTTGCATATAAATCAAAGCGCCTGACTGGGCCATTCAAAAGCACCCGTACTAGCTAGACTGGTCTACAAAAGCTTAGGAGTTTTCAGGGTTGAATTTCATTAAAGTGGGTTTATTACTGTAATCACAACACGTAATGAGCGCTGATTATCCAAAACCGTGACATGCCCTGTAATGATAATCAGCGCACGGGTCAATCTACACACAAGAGAGCACATCCTCATTCATTGAGCATGTAAGCCACAATAAGCCTGCCAGAGGGTTGTGCAAATAAGCTCAAAAAAAGTCCCTCTCATCTCCAAGACAGGCGGAGTTGGTACACACAAAATTAAATTTTAGTCATATAGAAAACAAAAAACTAAACTTGTGTACACAAGTGCAACGACAATGACAGGCAAGCCTTGTACAGGCCACACAAGATATCTTGAGAATGTGTTGTAACGTAAACGACACAATTTAGGCAGGGTCTCTGACAAATAAATGTCAAAACATCCTTGGATGAAAAAATACATATATACATAATGATTGTGGGGTGGATAGACAAGATGCCTTTTTTGTGGCAATAAGAATGAAAACAAGTAACTAGTCCGTAAGAGCTGTGAGACTACTTAGGCATGCAATGAATGAAGACTCGTGTGTGCTCAGTGTGTTCCTTCCTCTTCGCTGCTTTCGCTCTCCGGGCCGCGAGTGGTTCGTTGAAAAGGGTTTTCAGTCAAAGAAAACACCCTGCCCCCCCCCCCCCCCCCCCCCCCCCTCCCCCACCCCCCTCCCCTGCCTCCACCACTTGAAAACATCCACTACCCCAACCAACCCAACCTGGCTTGGTTCCTTAGCGTGTACATGGCAACAATGACAACAATATGGCAACAATGGCAAGATGTTGCGGATGACAGAGAAGGCATGGTAACATCTCAAATCTAAACTAAGCATTGTGATGCTGTAGAGCACTGGGAGGCTCGTGAAGGTACACCATGCATCACCACAGAGGGTGCTACTGTATGCCGCCTAGGTTCTCGTGAAATGGAGGGGCAAAGGGTTCATCTGCGCAAAGAGAAAGTCAACGCTTGGAAAGTACCTTGTTAAGACTCTGAAGGTTTGAACGGTTTGAAGACCCACAAAAATGTAAAGATTGCAAGACCCTCCCGCAATTGACTGCGGAGCAATTGCCACAGCGTGTTTGGGAGATACCACTGCGCTGGAGATGCCACGTGCTGAGTGCTTCTGAGTGTTGTGGGTCATGGAAGCTTTCAAGTGCGCGGGGGGAGACTTCACAGGTTTGCATGGCCGAGCCCATCCTTGGCGTTGCCAGGCGATCCAGACAGTCCGGGCGTCGGTATGTGCCCGAAAGTGCTACAATGCTACAAGTGCTAGACAGCACCAGAAAGTGAGTGTGTCCTTAGTCGTTTTCATCCTCTGAGGCCTCTCCGAGGCCATCTGGCATGACTAAAGTCGCAAAAGGCAACGATCACTTCACAAGCCACTCTATTTTTTCGCCGAAAAGGTGACC